TCAGAATCCCCAAAAAGCATGACACACAGGCTCCCTTCTAAACATCAGTTTTGGTTGATTTGCAGTGGCTGCCTGGAGTACCCTGTTAGAAAGAACAGTGAGGCCAAGTTGGAGTTCAGGAAGAAGGTGTTGCCTGACTGCTTAGCCATGTCTACCAGGGATCTTGGTGCCCAAGTGCTGCACACTTGCCAAGTCTCAATGGATAATCTCTGTTTTATTCTTGGCCTTTTATGTTTAAGCAGGTGACCTGTTTTTCCAACCAACCAAATTAAAGAGATTCTAACCAGACTAAGGACTATATAATAAGGGCCTGGAGAGCTGCTCTGAATGCTAAGCCCAGTCTATTCTAGCAAAGACACAATTCAACTTGCAAGTCAACATGACACAGTGCAGCATTATATTTTAAAGCTAAATATCTCATGCATTATGAACCAGAAATTCCACTCCTAGGATACACACCCCATGTATCTGTTCACCAAGAGATACAAACAAAATGTCCATAGCAACTACTTGCAGGAGGATGGAAACATAAATTGTGGTACATACACATACAGAGCTTACTCATTTTGCTAGTTACACAAAACCATATGGATAAATAATAGAAGAACATTTAAAAAATAATAATAATAGAAGAACATTTAAATGAAAGAAGCAAGAGCAAAAAACCACCTATAACTGTATACCTTGGTTTAAAAGATGAAAAACAAGCTATAAAAACTAAATTATATATTGTTTAGGAATATGTACATATATGACAAAACTATCATTGAAAACACAGGGGAATAAGTAACATGAAATTCAGGATACTACTATAGTTACCTTTGGGGCAAGTATGGGACAGGATAGGGAAAGATAGGCAAGATGAATGTAATAGAATGTTCTAGTTAAGTAGGATGGTGTTTTCACAGGGGTTCATTTATTGTAATGCTTCATGTATGTTCATGTGTGTACTCAGTCACTCAGTCATGTCTGACTCTTTACAATCCCATGGACTTTAGTTGGCCAGACTCCTCTGTCCATAGAATTTTCTAAGCAAGAAAACTGGAATGGGTTGCCATTTCCTACTCCAGGGAATCTTCCCGATGCAGGGATCAAACCCTCGTCTGTTGCGTCTCCTCCATTAGCAGGCAGATTCTTTACCTGGGAAGCCCTGTAATGATTCACAGAATATATACATATACATACATATATATTTCATGTATTGTTTGCAAGAAGAGATTTTCATTTAATGCACTACTCAACTAAAGATAAAATCTTCATTTTTGTGTTTGGAAGTTAATACAGATAGCCTGGTTTGCAGTAACAGTGTTAGAAAATGCTTCTTTCATAAGGTGACTTTTGTGGGTCACCTGTTCCTACCTCCCCAGTCAGGTTTCTCCCTTACAGTGGCTGAATCTCACCAGGAGCCTAAAATTGGAGTGAGGATAGGATGAGCAAAGCTTTCCTCTGAAGCTTCTCCAGGCTGTCTCAGGTACACCCAAGCAGTTCCCTCATCTTTGCAATGATGAGTTTGATTAGATCACTTATTTTTTAACTATAAAGCAGTCATTTCAATTTCTATATTTCTTTCTTTTTTATTGAAATATAGTTGACTTGAAATGTTGTATTAGTTTCAGGTGTACTGGGTAAATCACTTTTAAAAATAATCCTTTTTATTTTTTAATCATTTTAAAGATCATTTAATCATCCTAATCTTTATTACTATTATAACAATAAGATTTTATTAGCATTTTATCTGCAACATGCACTAAAGTTGTTTTTATATAGTTATTGCTTAAAATGAATGATGAATTTTTTATAATAAGAAAAACATGTAAACAATCTGAATGTCCAGTTATAAAGGAATGGTCAGAAAGTATGCAGTCTTAAACTCTACAAAGAGAGTATAGTAACACAGAAGATACCTAAATCATTAAATGAAAATCTTCCAGGTCAGAAAGTGGTAAAAAAAATCTGCCTGCCAGCACAAGAGACACAAGAAGGGGAGGTTCAATCCCTTTGGGCCAGGAAGATCTCCTGGAGTTAGAAATGGCACCTCACTCCAGTATTCTTGTCTAGAAGATTCTGCAGACAGTAGCCTCGTGGGCTACTGTCCATGGGATCCCAAAGAGTCAGACATGACTGGGCATGCTCGAAATTTAGATAAGATCCCAACTAATAGTACAAATAAATGAAACCTATGTTTTAAAATGGGTTTCCCTGGTGGCTCAGTAGTAAAGAATCCACCTGCCAATGCAGGAGACTCAGGTTCAATCCTTGGCTTGGGAGGATCCCTTGGAGAAGGGAATGGCAACACACTCTAGTATCCCATGGATAGGGGAGCCTGTGGGGTCACAAAGAGTCAGACACGAATTAGTGACTAAACAACAACATTTTAAAATAAGCTGGAAGGAAATAGACAACCATGTCAATGTTAGCTTCATGTGAAGATACATTTTCTTCTTCCTGAGTTTTGCTCTTGTAACGGAAGCAAAATCCACTCAACTTCGGACACTCTTGAAAGGGAAACTGATTGGCAATATTGGTTTTTAGGGAGTTGAAGACACCCACGGACGTTCTATAAAAGGCAAGATGGCAACTCAGTAGTAGTACTAAGATTATTGTTCAGAGTTCCTGTGTTTCTAGCTTTTTCTGTCTTTTTCTGTCTTAATTTCTAAAACCAATTGATTCCTCAACTGCCCCCAACACACTCACACAAGTAAATAAAGTAAGACACACTCCCCCTGAAGAAGTATTACTGTCATCTCAGCCTCTCTAAATTCCTCAGCTATAGCTAGCCACATACACCATTCACAGCCTTTTCCCTGAAGGTCTTGGTGGGCAGGAAGAAATGAGAATTTGAATGCTACTTAAATTATCTCTGAAAAGTTGTGCCTATTCTCAGGATGGTCATACAGTGAGTCAACCAAGAAATCTAGGTTATCAGAGGCCATCTTAATTGAGACCACGTCAGTGTCAGTCAGGTCATCCCAATTTGGGGACTCAGAGAATATTGTCATAATGTTATCACAGTAGAGGGTTTTTTTTTAATAAAGATTATCACTACTGGTTCGGGAAGATCCGCTGTAGGAGTGTATGGCAACCCACTCCAGTATTCTTGCCTGGAGAATCCCATGGACAGAGGAGCCTGACGGGCTACAGACCATGGGGTCGCAAAGAGTCGGACACAAATAAAGCAACTGAGCACGCATGCATGCAGAAGTGCGGTGGTCAAGTATGGACAGGACTGTAGGGGAAATGGGAATATAAATTTAATAGATTCGCTTTGGAGGGCCTATTAAAATGGAAAACAGCGCACCCCAACGCACAGTGATTTCTCTCCTAGCCAGTTAGCCTAGCGAATAATCACACATGTATGCAAGTGGACACAGTCAAGGATTTCAATCACAGAAATATTTGCTTTTATGAAAAATTGGAAACCACCAAATGTCTCTCAACAGGGCAATAGATTTTCAAAAGTTCATATGTTCATATGGTAAAATACCCACAGCAGTTAAAATTGGTGGTCCATATAGCATATGGACCAACATGGATAGACTTATATGTGGGCAAAAAAAAAAGAAAAAAAAAACTCACAGATCTTTGAGGATTTAAAAGAAGTGGCTATAGACTTAACAGTTCCCATGAGGATAAATATCAAACCATGTTGTTTAGTGAAAGGAGCAAGTTCAAGGATAACATCGAAAGTGTGATATTATTGGGAGTTCCCTAGTGACCTAGTGGTTAGGATTCTGTGCTTTCACTGCCATGTCCCAGGTTCAATCCCAGGTCAGGGAACTGAGATTCCCCCAAGCCACACAGTGTGGCCAGGAAAAAAAAAAGTACTGTTTCTGTTAAAAAGAAAAAACAAACTACAGCTATGCATTTTGATAAGTATATATATATATATGTATGTAGGTAGAGAGATATAATAGTACAAGAACATTCTAGAAAGAAACACATTAAAATCAAAACAAGGATTACCTCTGAAGAAAAACAGAGGGAACTGGGGCCTGGGGTGGGAAAGGGGGAAAGGTGAAACAGGATTACAGTTAATTGGTGATATTTTAATTTTCAAAGGTAAATGGATTCCGGTGTTACTTGTGTGTTTGCAATTACTTTTTTAAAGTCTCAGCAATTACTTAATCCTCTAATATATTTATTACACCTCAGAAGCAAAACAACATGGAGCCTTCCATAGAAGACTGTCTCCTAGACACCACACCCCCTTTTCACTCCCTTTCCCTCTACCGTTTCCACACACAGCACTCCCACTTGGCCAAGTTCACTTATATTCTGAGTGCTTGTATTGTGCTTAATCACTCAGTAATGTCCAACTCTTTGCGACCCCATGGACTGTAGCCCGCGAGGTTCCTCTGTCCATGGGATTCTCCAGGGAAGAAAACTGGAGTGGATAACCATTTCCTTCTCCAAGTGATCCTCCCCACCCAGGGATTGAACCCAGGTCTCCTGCATTACAGGCAGATTCTCTACCATCTGAGTCATCAGAGAAGCCGTGTTCTGAGAGCATGCTCTCAGGCCTTCAATCACCTTTGCAACCCTCCTAGGCACCAGAGTAAATCCCATTAACGGTGACCCTTTGCAGAAAAAGTAATGCCAGCAAACAGTTAGCTGTGCATGTACCCTTCATTATCAACAGCCACATGAATTGCATCCCTTCCCATGATTATTTTTTCATTTTATTAATTGGAGGATAATTGCTTTACAACGTTGTGTTAGCTTCTGCCATACAACAATGGGAATCAGCTACATGTACACATATACCTTCTCCCTCTTGAGTCTCCCTCCCACCCCACCCCTATGCCACCCCTCCAGGCCATCACAGAGCACCAGGCTGAGCTCCCTGTGTTATATAGCAGCTTCCCACTAACCACCTGTTTTACACACAGTAGTATATATATGTCAGTGCTACTCTCCCTCAATTTTGAGAGCAAAGTATTTGAGAGTGTGGCACTGGCCAAATCACCAGGAGGAAAGAAGGCAACAACCCAATTCCATACCTGTCAAAAACCACAGCGGAATAAGCCCGCTCCGCGAAGATGATGTCGGCAGCCCAGAACTCCTTCGTGGCCTTCAGACCTCTGCCTTTGCCCTCAGCAGTGAAGACCTCCACATTCTCCATTTCCCCTATTGTCATCTCAGAGTCTTCAGGCAGCTCGGCAGATATTTAACACTGAGCCAAGTCCCTTGTCCTCGCAGCTATTTCAGCACCTTCAGCATCCCAAAGAGCAAGTCTATAAATGGACAAGCACCTCCCCTTCCCTACCCCCTCCAGTCCCTGGGCCCTCTCTCACTCCCCCTTCTGCTTCTTTTCCTGTGACTGGGATGGGGCAGGCCAGAGGACACTGATCTGGGAAGGATCCCTGCCATCGCCCAGCCAAGCTGACAAAGTAGAAAAAGACCATGGTCTGGTGTGCTTCTCAAATTGGGCCTGAAAACTTTGGAAAAGTTCCTTTGCAAGGAGTAGTTAAGTCCTGGATTGCAGTCATGCTCAGCTTTAGTTGGAATGGGCAGCACTTGGTCAGTAGGGTATTTTTAGCAACCAGATGCCTCTGTCAATCCACAGCAGAGACAGCTGAAGTGGTCCAAGAGAAGAGGCGAGGTGATGTTTGCTGCTCTGGGACCCTTCAGCTGTCAGGCTTGGACTTCCTCAAGTGAGAGGGGCCCCTTGTTTCCTCCATGGGTAGACTACTGGCAGAAAGTAACAGATGCTAAATTGACCCTTTTCCATATATATAACCTCTCTTCTCCCTTGTGGCTCAGACAGTAAAGAATCTGCCTGCAGTTCAGGAGGGTCGGGTTCAATCCCTGGCTCTGGAAGATCCCATGGAGTAGGGAATGGCAACCCATTCCAGTATTCTTGCCTGGAGAATCCCATGGACAGAGGAGCCCAGCGGGTTACAGTCCACGGGGTCGTAAAGAGTCAGACATGACTGAGCGACTAAGTACTCTCTAGGCTCCAAAGGGCCTCCCTCTTCTCTAATATTCCGTGGCTCTCCCACAGTGCCCCACCCAGGGCATGGAGGTCTGAGCATTCTCTGATGAATGTAGGTATGTTGGACCCTAGGATGTGTTATGAAAGGAGGCCGGCTTTGAAGATGAAAGCCCTCATGTCTATTATCATTCTGTCAAATCTCCCTTAAACATTATGTCTGCTACCAGAAAAGTACCAATACCTTCCTTCCTAGGAATGAGGACATTGGAAGGATTAGTCTAAAATCCCAGCTATTGAACTGGATGCTGCTCATCTTGATCACCAGACAGCTCTCACTGAGGTTGAAAAGAGAGACACTTGCAGATCCGGAGCTATGGTTTATCTTCCAGGTAATATTTTTCATTCCTGGGATGCGTCTATTTACAGATTTCTGTGCTCTGGGTTTCTATAAGTGTACTAGTTTACAAGCACTGGCTTCTGGGTTAGACAGGTCTGCATTTGAATTTTGAGCCTTCTAGGACTGTGGGCTTCCCAGGTGGCACTTGCCTGCCAATGCAGGGGAAATAAGAGACCCGGGTTCGATCCCTGGGTGGGGAAGATCCCCTGGAGAAGGGAATGGCAACCCACTCCAGTATTCTTGCCTAGAGAATCCCATGGACAGAAGAGCCTGGCAGCCTACAGTCTATAGGATCGCAAAGAGTCGGACATGACTGAAGCAACTTAGCGGGACAACTTTGAGATAGTACCTGTAAAACAAGGGTGATAATTTCTATCTCACTGGTAAATGAGATAATAGGTACAATGGACATGGCACAGCACTTGGCTGTGTCCATGCAGAACTTACTAAATGATAGCAAATTTATTTTATTTATTCTGTCCAGTTTCTTCCCCAAAACCATCAAGATACATTCGAAATTCTAATGTGTCTTCAACCTAATTGTATCTCCTGACGCTTCTTTGCTCTTGGAAGCAGCTGGAGAATCGTCTGTCAGACCTTGCATGCATGCTATGTCACTTCAGTAATGTCTGACTCTTTGCGACTCCATGGATGGTAGCTCGCTAGGGTCCTCTGTCCCTGGGATTCTCCAGGCAAGGATACAGAGTGGGTTGCCAGGCCCTCCTCCGGGGGATCTTCCTGACACAGGGATCGAACCCAATTCTCTTGTGTCTCTTGCATCGGCGGGTGGCTAGCACCACCTGGGAAACCCTCGCCATGTATCCCAGTCTTTAGGTCATAAAGCATAATGCCTGGAATTAGAGAATAATTCAGCAAACTCTGATCTAGCCCAAAGGGCAAAGCACATTAAGACATTTAAAATTGGGTGCCACCAAAAGTAAACATCACATGCTCTTGGGGGAAAATAAATGATTAAATAGGAGTTCTTCAGGTTAGTCTCAAATGAATGTCTGCACCCACGTTGCCTGGCAACAGCTAGGGAGCCAGCAGCTCTGCCTGGTAGAAATGACCTCATTCTTCTCTAGACACATGGTTCAGCCCAACCCAAGGTCAAGGAAGACATCAAGGAGCATCAAGCCTGGTGCTTTAGTTTCAACGGTGAGTCTCAACCTTCTCAGAACAACAAGATTATATTATTTAATATATATTATATTATTTAATATATTATATTATTAAAACATGGTAGAGGGCAGTGCAGTGGATGAGAAGGCAGGGGACATGAGTTCAGTCCCTGGTTCAGGAATATTCCACATGCCATGGAGCAACTAAACCCATATGCCACAACTACTGAGCCCGAGAGCTGCAACTACTGAAGCAGACATGCCTTTGGCCTGTGCTCTGCGACAAGATAAACCACCGCAATGAGAAGCCAGCACGCCACAACTAGAGAAAGCCTACACAAACTGACAAAGACCCAGGGCAGCCTAAATAAATAAATAAATAAATTTTAAAATATGATAGACAGAAAAATGGTTCCCCAAAGATACTCAGGTCCTACTCCACAGCCCTGTGAATATATTATCTTACATGACAAAAGGGACTTTGCAAGTGTGATTAAATTAAACCTCTTGAGAGAGGGAGGTTATCCCTGCATTGTCCAGTTGGCCCAATGAAATCATAAGAATCCTTATAAGAGGGAGTTAGGGAGGTGGTCAATGTCAGGTGGAGATGTAACAATGGAAGCAAGAAGGTCAGACTCAGAGAGACATTTGAAGATGCTATATGGTTGGCTTTGAAGTAGGAGGAAGGAGCAAGGTGAAATGCAGATGCCCTCTAGAAACTGGAAAAGGCAGAGGTATGGCTGCTCCTCCAAGAGCACCCAAGGGGAGCATGGCACTGCTGACACTTTGATTTAAACCCAGTGAACCCTCCATTTCTGGCTTCTGACAACTGAACTCTAATATAATAAATTTATGTTATTTTAAACCACTAAGTAATTTATTAAAAAGCAGCAATAGGAAACTAACACATACATTATTATACTTTGTTTTACATTAGAGTAAATATTATATAAACTCCTTTTTGATATATGAAATTAAATTTATAGAGAATATAATGTGTTAGTTCTTGAACCTAAAAAACATAAATTACTAACTCCTCTGGGGCTTCCCTGGTGACTCAGATAATAAAGAATCCACCGGCAGTGCAGGAGACCCAAGTTCGATCCCGGGGTCAGGAAAATCCCCTGGAGAAGTGTATGGCAACCCACTCCAGTATTCTTGCCTGGAGAATTCCATGGACAGAGAAGCCTGGCAGGCTACAGTCCATGGAGTCACAAAAAAGTCAGAAATAACTGAGCGACTAACGGGCTCACTTCACAAAGTCTGAATATTTGTCCCCTCCACCTCCAAATTCATACGTAGAAATCCTCACCCTCAAAGGTGATGGTATTACTCTGTGAGGGCTTGGGTAGATCCTTAAATCATGAAGGTGAAACCCTCATGAATGAGATTCGTGCCTTATACATGGAAGAGGCTCCAGAGATTGCCTCGGCCCCTCTCTTTTGCCATGTGAGGATACAAGGAGAATTCTGTGACTTGAAAAGGAGCCTTCATCCAAACATGCTGGCACCCTGATCTAGGACTTCAAGCTTCGAGAACTGTAAGAAATAAATTTCTGGTGTTTATAAACTATCCAGGCTTTGGTATTTTGTTATTGCAACTCAAATGGACTAAGACTCTGATCTAACCTAGTACGGGAAAAGGAAAAATGACAGTTAAATTATAATAAAATTAACATATATTCATTCTAAACTCCAGGAGATGTTGAAGGACAAGGAACCCTGGCATGCTGCAGTCCATGGGGTCTCAAAGAGTTGGACACAACTTGGCAACTGAACAACATAAAAAAAAAAAAAACTAGCTTATATAATGTTAATACTGTTTAAAAACTAAAAGGACCCAGCTTTTAAAAAAATTTACAGAAACTGATCTATGATTACATAAGACAGTGTTCTAGACTCAGATAATTATAAATAAGATTTTACATAAGTGAAATGAATATCCAGATATTTGAAGTACAAGGCTGTCACTTACTTCCCAGGACATCTGGCATCTCTGGCCAGGACCAGTGAGACAGGGGATGCTGACTCTAGTTATCAGGCGGGTGATGGAGAAGGGAGCACAGGGCCCTGCTGTATCACACACCAACACAAATCCTGTGCAAAGGCTTTTTGCCCATCTACTCACCTCCAGTTCATTTTTTTCCCACTGGGATCCCAACCTTTCTTGCTGGCCCTAACCCTACTCCTGCCAACAATACGCCAGTGCTTGCATGTGCGTGCTCAGTTGTGTCCGACTCTTCGCAACCCCATGGACTGTAGCCCGCCAGGCTCCTCTGTCCATGGGATTTAACAGACAAGAATACTGGAGCGAGTTGCCATTTCCTCCTCCAGAGGATTTTCCCAACCTAGAGATCAAACCCAGGTCTCTTGCCTTGGCAAGTGGATTTTGTACCACTGCGTCACCTGGGAAGCCCACATTATGCCAGTTGCACCCCACAATCATCATAACAAGCAAAACATCCCCCCAACATTTCTAAGATGGCCCCTAACTAGTGGAACTGCCTCCATTGAAAACTGCTGTCTTCATCATCAGAAAAAGCACATCTAGAGTTTTTAGTGGATTTCTTATCGCTCTACTGGAGATGTTTAACCAGAAAAGATTCAAGAAGGACATGAGAGCTTTCTTCAGCATCATTCATCAAAGCATGGAAGAAGCAGTAGATTCATTCCATGTTTCTTAAG